ACAGTGGTACATTTTAAATGAAAAAAATAATAAAATAGATTTCAAAATAAATTGTATCTCCCAAAGCAATAAATAGTAAATACTGTTGGCATATACAAATACACTTAGATGCATGTAAGTACACATTCGTGCATAACAAGTGAACAAAAAACAAAAACCTCAAATAAGTTCAGTGGTATGACAGGGGAAATCAATTGAGATTAGACCTACAGGAACCGTTATCCTTTGAATCTGGACTGCACCCAGAGGCTCAGGAGTTAAAGGCTCGGTCCCCAGCCTGTGGCACTATTGGAGGTGGGGCACCATCAGGAGGAGGCACCACATGGAAGGTTAGGTCACTGGGGGTGTACCCTGGAGGGGGATATTGGGAGCCTGGCCCCTTCTTCTCTTTTTCTTTCCTTTCCAGTCGCCACAAGATGAGCAACTTTGCTCCACTATATGCTGCACCACAAGCCCAAGGACAACAGGCCAACCAACCATGAACTGAAACCACCAAAACTGTAGGCCAAAATAAATCTTTCCTCCTTCACATTGATTTTCTTGGGTATTTTATCACAGTCATGGAACACCAAGTAACAGTCACCAATTTAAAATGGAGTTATGGTGAAGGTGGATATCTCATCAGTGCCCCACAGCAAGTCCACAGAACACACTCCACTTTTCTTCACTCTTGCTTCTATATGCAAAAGATCATTCAGGAGCAAATGTGGTGTACCTGATTTTCAATAAATGAGAATTAGATTTTCAGTCTAAAAGAAGAGAGGTGATGTAAGTATAAAATACAGCTATAGGAAGTGTTCAAAAATGAGCACAGATGTCTCTTTATTTACCTGGTTAAAAAATTGATTTTGTGCATAATTTCTACCAAGAAGATGTATATCATGTAAAGAGGTCATGTCATGTGTCAGTGGGGACATAGGTGCAGGGGAATGTTTATGCACAGCTGAAGGGAGGATAAACTTATGTAGCATTCTGGAGAACATACTTGTAGTATTTAAATTACATATACTTGCTGACTTGGCATGTCTAAACCTGGGTATGGCATATGTTACAAATCTTACATAGGTCCACCAGGATACACACATACAAGGATGCTCCTTGCAGCATTATTTGGGAACTCCTAAAGTTGGATGCCATGTGTATATCTATTCCCCAGAGAGTAGACAGGGAAAACGTAAATGAATACCATGGAATATGAAGCAGCAGTTAGAAGCCATAGGATTACACAGGGATGGGACGTTAAAATATTATGCTAAGAAAAGACTGAACCATAGGATGAGATGGGTATGGTATTTACATAAATTAAGAATGCATGTATAAAAAATACAATTCAAGTTTTGCTGGAACAGGCAGAGTATACATTAAACACACTGTAATGAGCAGAGAGAGTGGGGGGTGGGAAAACAGGAATAAAAACAAGAATAAAAAGGGGCTAGGCTGATTTTTCAGGCTTGCACGGTGACTGGTAGCCCTGACCACAAAATGTCTTAGTGGCTATTCAGATTTTGCTGTGACATCCTGGGTTGTTGGTGTTGTCCCCCTAAAGGGATCTCAAGTGGTGCAAAATCAGTTCCAGAGCTCCAGTTATCCTGTTTGCAAAGACAGGCTTCCCAGCCACATGCCTGATTCATGCCTTGGTATTGCCCTCTCCCTCAGGTATTGCCCATGGGCTCCCATAAAGGTTCTGACTGATCACGTGGTTGGTCACATCCATGCAGGTGCACCCCTAACAAAAGGACAGCGTTCTCACATCAGACCACATCCCAGGCAACCAGAGAGCATGCAGATGGCCTTCAACTCAGGCAAGGATCCCTGGTCCAGGCAAGCTCTAAGACAGATGTTTTAAGATTATAAGATAAAGCATGACTTTTTTCTCATAAAGGATAGATCAAGAAGGCATTTCTCAGAAAGACGTTGTGACTCTTCCTGGAACTTTACAATGTCAGCTGCTCCCTGAATGCGGTGTGGAATGTCCCCTGCACAGAAAAGGTAAATTACTTGTGAAGCTCCTGGGGATGACAGTCTTACAAAGACAGCCTACCCTGCATATGCAAACATGGGTAGACTGGGAAGAGGCAAGCGGTGGTATGAGGACGGTGCGTTTGGCAGTCACTCATTTCTTGGGAGGATCCATACGCAGATGTTCCTAAGTGATTCATTTCAACATATAACTAACTGCCTCCCTCACAAGATTGTTGTGTGATAATGTGTTAAAGAGTTTATTTTAGTACAGTGATCCCAAATCATACACGCTTAACATTTTAGTTTCATCTCTTCCTCACCTGACACATGTTGAAAAGTATTAATTAAGACCATAGCATTCCTCTTCCAATGCTGTACATAGCTTAGCAAATGAAGGAGTGTATAAGCACAACCTGTTACCTGTTGTTTGCCCATATCTAAACTAGACTATCACCTCCAAAAGATTCCAGCTTTAAAAGACTGCTTTTAAATGTATTTAAATATATATAATTTTTTCTTCTTTTTCCTCCTTTTTCTGAGAAGGATAATTAAGAGGCTGAAAGTGGAGACCAGGGAGTGATAGTCACCAAGCCAAAATCAGAGAGAACTGAGAGCCAGTGAACTTCTGTGGCACCCATGCAGAAACGTGGACTGGCTTTGAGATTACAGTACTGAGCCCTGAGTTTCCAATGACCACACCTATTTTATGTCCAAAGCTGCATTCATTTCCCCCCTGCATACAACCTTACACAATACAGTACCAGACTAATTGGGTAGAATGCAACCCTGTTTGACAATTTTGCAAAAATTTGATTAGATTTTTTAAAGGAACGTTTCCCCATGAAAATACTTCTTTCATTCAAATTGATCCTGTCTGACCATTTCCAAGATCTTTCTGTAGAACATCTGGAAAAGAAGTGAGTATTCCCGAAAACTAATTCGTAGCCATCCCTTTGGCTGCAAAAGTGATGTTCCCAAGCCAAAGTATCAATGATATTGAGTGCAATTTTCACTCCACTGCTTCTTTTCCTGTTTTGACAGTAATAGGAGCCATAGTCTGGAACAAATAAAGGGCAGTGGCACTGCATAGCCCTAACATCTGTGAATGTGGAGGTCCTGCGGCATCAAGTAATTTACCAAGTAAAAAGGTCAGCAGTAAAATATTTCCACCTGGGCTATTACACTATTCTCTCATCCATTCTATTTTATTGACCAGTAACCGCACTTATTAAGGCACATGTACCTTAAAAAATGAATGAGTGAAAAACCTCAATTGACCGTGAACTAGCACAAACAATCAACAAGTGGGATTTCTTCTTATTAAAAAGCTTCTGCACAGCAAGAGAAACCACCAGCAGTGTGAAGAGACAACCCACAATGTGGGAAAAAATTTTCACCTGCTGTTCCCCAGACAAAGGCCTACTATCTAGAATCTATAAAGAACTTAAAAAAATCAGACCTCTGAAATTTAAAGACCCAATCGAAAAATGGGCATCTGAAATGAACAGATATTTCTCACACAAAGAAGTAGAAATGGCAAATAAACATATGAAAAAAATGTTCAACATCACTGGTCACTGGAGAGACACAAATGAAAACAACGCTGAGATTCCACCTCACCCCAGAAAGAATGGCTGCTATCATGAAATCAACCAATAACAAATGCTGGTGGGGCTGTGGGGAAAGAAGAACCCTGATCCACTGCTGGTGGGAATGTCAACTGGGGCAACCACTGTGGAAATCAGTATGGAGATACCTCAAAGAACTAGGACTGGAAGTCCCATTTGACCCAGCTATTCTGCTGCTGGGTATCTTCTCCAAAGAATTAAAAGAATCATACCACAGTGATATATGTGCACCCATGTTCATAGCAGCACAGTTTGTGATAGCTAAAACTTGGAAACAGCCCAAATGCCCATCAACTGGAGACTGGATAAAGAAAATGTGGTTTTTTAATAAAATGGAGTACTACTTAGCCATAAAAAATGAGAAATTAGAGACATTTATAGTTAAATGGATGCATATTGAAGCGATACTCTTGAGTGAAATTAATAGGACACACATGCCTAAATACTAAATAGTTTCTGTAGTGTGAGAAACTGAAAGTGTAAATAAGGACTAAAAGGTATAATAGATAATGTGAAATAGGAAGAAAAGGGGCAAAGGGGAAGGGGAAGTGGCAGGGATAGGGGAAAGGAAAGAAGGGAATGGAATTAATACGAGAAAATGAAAAATTGGAAAGTCCTTTTAAATAGGGAGGGATGGAGGGGTTGAAGGGAGGGCAGGGGAAGGGGGAAAAATAAGAACCACGAGTGATTATGTAAAGGTGCAAATTTCCAATGATGAATGTCATTACATTGTATACCTAAAATTTACCAATAAAATAAAATTTTTTAAAAAATGAATGAGTGAAACATTTAGAAGATTAGTATGCTACTGAACAGGAAAAATGTGTCCTGTATTTTTTGGTTGAAGCAGAAATATTAGGTCAACATCTTAAAGTAGTAATCCATTCAATCTTTCAAAATTTCCAAATTAACTCCTATTATTTTTTGGTTCTTTGCCATTAAAATTCAATTCCTCATTGTTTTTTATAAATTAAAAAATATAGACATCAGGAATTTGGTAGAAAACTGCATGCCAAAAAACTACTAGAAAACAAAAAGAGGAAGCCAAGAACTTAAAATTTAGAATGTCTAAATAACAGGTTTATGATACAATTTGTTTTTACTTTTTTTCCCCACATATAAGATAGGTTGTAACAGGGTTTGATTTTTTTTTTTCCGGTACCAGGAATTGAACTCAGGTCCTTGTGCTTGCCAGGCAGGGGCGGTGCCACTGAGCTACATCCCCAGGCCTGTGACAGGGTTTGAGAGAGGAACATCTCACTCAATGGCATGAAAACCTGATCATCATACTTGTGAACCACAAACAAATCATATGATGCAATATTTTAATTCAAGAACATTCAGTAATAGTAGAAATAAATGGATGAATTAGACAATATTTGTTATAATGTAAAATGAAATTATAATTCATAAAATTATAAAAGTGACTTTATTATTTTCATAATAGTGTTCCATTATAGATAAGCATAGATACAAATTTTGTAAATTTGATATAGCAAACCATAAAAGCTACAAATTAATCTTGTACCCTCGGACTCGATTTTGGATACAACCACGTACATGTAGCTGCTATGTACATACTAAAAGCATATGTGACAAAGTACAAAAATAAGAAATGGCTAAACAAAAAGTTATTCTTGAGTTATAATCATCTACTAAAATATACTTTTTTAATCACAGAGTTGTGTCACAGCTAAAAACACACAAGTAATACATACTGCTACACAACTACTTGATCTAATATAGATCTAGTATGAAAAAAGGGTATAGTAACATTTCACAGGTAAAGGCTAAGTTCTGGGACATGAAAGCTTTTAGATAATCCACAAAACATACCTGAGATATCTTTTTGTCTTGGAAAAAAACCACTTTTCTTAAACAGTCAAAGCTTTAATATATAAATGACATATGTAATAAACCATATTCTTTATTGTAATAAGCTGAAGTGATGTTCTGACTTTAATGGTGATCAGTAAACACAGTCTATCTCTGGCAGAATAAAAAATGAGGTTTTCTGATTAAGCTAGTAATCCAATTACTGCAGCCTACAAGTTTGGTTATTGTTTCATATTTGGTTTTATTTTTCTTCCTTTAAGTAATAAACGTATTAAATAAATCAGGTAACCTCCACACATCCACCTACTTCTTTCCTTCTAAGCACAGCTTTCTCTTTGCCTCAAACATCAGATGGCAATCAAACCTACATGCATAAAAACAGACTATAGCACATCTGGACTTGTTGATTAATGATTATTTTTGCTATTACACATCTCTCAGAGTAAATAGGTTACAGGACCCCAACATCACTGTGAGCCCTGCTGGGCCATAACCTTTTGGAATAGCCAGTGCCTAAAACACTTATATGTGTTGGCTATGCCTCATTTCTACACTTGATCTTTGCCAAAAGGCCAAGAAGCGATATGCCTCATTTCTATAGTTGACTTTAATGCCTTTAAAAATACTGGCACAATTTTTCATATTCAGGAAGTAAGACTATTAAATTCTAAAAATAAAAATTAGATGAAATGTGTATTAATTCAGTATTCCAAAACGAAACAGCTCTGCTATGTTATGGATTTTTTAGAAATCTACTTGAGATTCATCTCTGGTACATTAAATAACGTTTTTCTCAATGTGCATGCTTCAAATTTTGTGCTTCAGTTAAATTAATTTGGAATGGGTAGGAAAATATTTAGTCATTCTTCTTTTTCATTCTGCCCCTTTTTTCTCTGACCACCCACACACAAAACCAGCATGCACTCCTTCCTCGGAAATATTGACACAAAAATTCCAAAATTCTTAATAAAACAGAGCAAACTAAGTTCTGTGGATCCTGTAGAACATCTTTGGGGAGTTTAGTTGCAATGAAAATAAAAATATGGAACCTCCCTTTGTATTTTTGCATTCTTCCATCACTTTTCTAAAGGTTTTCAGGGTATTTCTATAGTCCAGATACATACATTTTGTTCCAGCTTTATTCTTTCTCAACTATCAAAATATTGGCTCACAAATAATACCTAATATGACCAGTCCACTGTCTCACAATTCTATTTGCAAAACAGCCTCCCAAAAGGATCTTCTGATTCTGATGTTTAAAAACAGACATTAATGCCGAACTTTCATTAATCATTTAAAAGAGAAACTAGTCAGTTACAATGAGAGCCCCCCGCCCGCTTCCCGCCTTTACTCAGTGAAGAGAACAGCCAGATCATACATGGCATTTTTCACTATCGTCCAGGTTAGATGTCTCGCCTTCTATATATCGGTCAGATTGCTGCCAGCTTCAACTGGCATCAACAATCAGCATGGATTTTAAATTAAATTCAAATTTAACCATGCCAATAGTTTGGAATTTTAACATTAATTGGGCCAATTATGAAAGAAGAATTTGTATTATAAATATAATTTTAACTTATGAAATAAGAACATCTTACTGACATAATTTTAAGATTTGTCCACTGTTCAAAACTTGGATAAGAAGGGCCAGGGATTTAGCTCAGTGGCACTGCACCTGCCTCAAAAGCTCAAGGTCGTGAGCTCAATCCCCAGTAACAAAAAACCAAAACAAAACAAAACCTTGGATAAGGTCTTTTAAGAGGAAAAGACCTCTTGCTTTGACATGGTTTTCATGATGTCAAAAATGGATGGTTCATTTAATATACTTGGACTAGTTCTACTTTTTGATTTAGAATATTACGTGGGACAAATATTTTTGAAACTTTTCCTGATGAAAATAATTGATACTACCATGCTTCTATGAATAATTATGTAACATATATGTGTATAGTATAGATACTTAATACTATTTGCTGACATGGGTTTTTTAAGCCCATGAGACTGAAATGAGTACATATAATCACATATCAAAAGCCAGACTGGTAAAAATTTTTTGCCCTCATAATTGAAATACTATACTTTGGCAACCAAGAGAGGTAAAATTTCAGCTCAGAATTTTACAGTTTAACAACTGACACTTTAAAATTCATGATAAATCTCTGAAACACAATTATTAAATTGACACTTTAAAACTGATATTAAATGTCTGAAACTCACAATTATTAAACTGACTATTCATTTCTTTTTGAGCAAGTGACTTTTTTTCAGTTTGCTATTACTGAATATAAAAGCAAGTGACTTTTTGATTTATGCTGAAGTAGGGAAGCAAAGCAGTAGGGAAAAAGATAAATCCACTCAAACAGCTACAATCTCTTTTACTGAAAAGGTGAGAAGGTAATTTTTGGTCTCTACCCTTTCCTTTATCACTCCCAGTCATATCTTACATTGAAATTACTTGGCTTTGCATCTTCAGTATACCCTGAAATGTTGCTTAATGCAATTTTCCATGGAGTATATTTCTCCACACAGAAGCTCAATCTTGGAACCACCTAAAAAGTCAGTTACTGAAATACCCCTTCATTAGATGGCTGTATGTGCATGTGTGTGGTGTGGTGGGGGGTTTAACTCTGAAGAATGCTTTTTTAGAAATTCTTAGTATGAGAATCTGGTAGTATATAAAAATTCCATGGGCCCTCTAATTCTTTGACTCAAAAAATCTGCCAAAGCTCCCGAATGGTCCAGAGCTCACAGGGAGCCATTCAGTGTGGAGTACACCTCATCTGCAAGCCACTTAGGCACCAAAGAGGAATCCAAAAAATTCTGAGTTTTCCTTCCTATTCTCCAAGCTCTGAGCAATTCTAAAATACCAGCTTGCCTCTGGCTTCTCACTGGCAAGCTTCTTCGTCTTGCAACTTTTGGACAGCACTATCAAGGAGCTCCATGGACTCCCTGAGGGAAACGTGGATTTTAAAGGACTTGGGCTTAATGGTGAGGCCATAACTGAAACTCATTTTTGAGGGCTCATTTTGGTTGACCTTGAAATCGCACTGATGAGCTAGGATGGAAATGAAGAGAAACATCAGCATCTTGGACAGCTCTTCCCCGATGCACCGCCGTCTTCCCACTGAAAAAATCATCACACTGTTTGCCAGGTCCTTGTTGATAAAGCCATCCTCATCCAGGAATCGGGCTGGATCGAAGTCCTCTGGGTTAGGCCACTTCACTGGGTCATGATTCACAGACCACTGGTTAACAAAAATCACCGTGTTCTTAGGGATGTAGTAGCCCAAGACAAGGGCACTGGCAGTGGTGGCATGAGGGATAGTGACAGGCAGAAAGCTGGTGAATCGCATAGTTTCATAAAGAAAAGCCATGACATATGGCAGGTTGGGCTGGTCACTCATACGGGGAAGACGGTCCCTTCCCACAACTCGATCCAACTCAGCCTGCACTCGAGCCTGCACATCGGGATACCTGTTTGGTTTTTAATGCAGAGGGGGGGAATAAAATCAGTGAACAAAATTAACTCCTTTTTCATCCAGAAGCACATTACAATTTATTTTAATTCCACTTTTCTTTATATACCCTGTCTAGTAAATGACTGAATTAATATTCTGGAGGGAAAATCTAAATCAACTGTTAATTTCTCTCTAAATTATAAGATGTACTTTAACAATTATATTTTCTATAATAAGCTTCACATGGGTAAAGCTCTCTTTCTCACAGTAGGTCAAAAATCTCTTAAGTTTTCTCAGTCTAAAAATGTACAATATTGGGTAAGCCAACTTATTCATCAGGCCCCCAGCACTGCCTGGGCCCACAATACTTTTTAAGGGTCCATGAAAATGTTTCCATGTCTTTTAAAATTTTCAGACCTCAAAAAAAACTTTAGGGAGGAGAAAAATATTTTAATGTGTAATTTTGTTGTATTTATTTTTATATCTATGTAGTCATAAAATATAATTTGTATGGAGTTAACAGTCTACAATGGCCAAAACATCCAGGACCCACAAAAGTTAAAATGAGCCCTGAAACTAGACAACTTTCCTCCTCTCATTTCAAACAATTTCTTGTCCTGATTTTATAAAAGATTGTTGGAATCAGGATAAATAAATCTACGTATTTTCTAAACTTAAAAGCAAATTCTCAACGTTTGTAAGACTACGGTAGAAATTGTAATACTCATGTACTACTGCAGATATTAAACGGTACAATTCTTTTGGAAAACAAAATCTTAGTACAAAACAAGGTTAGCCCCTCCCCCTCCTCATTTTAAACCCAATAATCCATGCCTAGAAATGTATTTTCAGGAAGTAATTTAATAGGTACAATTATATACAAATACAGCAATAGCTAAAATTTTTTAAATGCAAAGTAAATGATGAGTGTTTCTGTAAGTTATTATGGCAACATATGGAGCCATCAAAAATTACTAAAATAAATGTTAAGAGATGGGAAAATGTCCACCGCAATAGGTAGAAGAGTCAGAAGAAAAAAAATTAATGTAACCCCGGAAAAAAAAAATGTAAGCATGGATGTGGTGAAATTATGGGTGGTTTTGTGTTTTTTTTGGTACTAGGGATTGAACTTGGGACCGTACGCTTGTGAGGCTGGCGCCACAACCACTGAGCTAAATCCCTGGCCAATTACGGATGATTTTGAAAATCGCTTCTACAGCATCAAATTTCAGAAATCTGCCAACTTTTGTCATAAAATTCCAAAAAATGCTTCAGACCAAATTCTCCCTATGGAAACTATTCAACTCGGTTGTAATGTGAAAGCAGCCACAGACAATACATAAATGAATGGACAGGGCTGTTTCAATCAAACTGATATCCAGAAACAGGTACTGTAATTTACTAATCTCTGGCATATTGTCTTGTCACAAAAAAGAAGCAAAAAATATATAGCTGCTTTATTTAATTGAATGTAACTCTGAAATTGTTTTATTTCTTTTTGCTGCCCAATTGCATATAAGAAGAGCCTTTTACAGTTCCATTCTAATTTTTTTTAAAGCCCATTTCAAGAGATAACATGCTTCTCTAGGCATGGGAAGGACCCGTTCTGGGGTGGACTTTTTCCTGAACTATGGTTGACTTTTCTTTATTTCTGCCTTCCTCACCTACCAATGTGTTTCTATGATTTTCAAACCGAAAAGCTATTTAATATACAAGATTTTTCAATTTGTTAGGTAGTTGTACAAAAATCTAAGGAAATCTAGGATGTAGTGTGTTCGAAGAAGCCATCTCTACCTTCCAAATCCAAGGTCACCAGGATATTCAATATCCCGACTATTTGAGCCCCAAGAAATGACACAACCAAGATTTCTGGTGTCAAAAGCAATTGCGATTTTCCTTGAGTGCCTTTGTCCCTGAGGTAGGAATTCCAGATAAAATACGGGTAGCCTGATTAAACCTGAATTTCAGGTAAACAATAGCATCTTTGAGGATGAGCATATCCTGTGTGGAATTTATTTTTTCTTTGTTTAGTCTGGCAACCCGACCCTAGAGGCCTGTAACCCGTGCGTGTAGGATCACCGCGGAGCTCGGTGCTGGAATCAAGGCCGGCTTCCGGCACCCGCACAGCCCCGCAAAGAGGTCGGGAGGCCGCAGGTGCCTCTTAGCTACCCTACACTCTCCTCTAACGATGTTGTGCGCACTCGTCAAAAGCGACCCCTTTTGCTATTCTTTTTTCTTTTGCTATTCTTTGACCTGACACTTCTTTCCTGCCTAGAGGCGGTTCTATGAACCCAGAACCGCTCGCTGGTTTCTGGCGGCCCCCAAAAGCCTCTGCGCCTTAGCCCCCCAGCTCGCCCCCGCGGCCTTTTTTTTTTTTTTTTTTTTTTGCCAGGAACAAAGCCCTGACCCCTGGCTTATTTTTAAGAGTCCTAGCTGGGTGCCCAAGAAGCGTGCCGATTACGCGGATGTGTTTATTTAACATACTGACTGCGTTTCCCTTCCCGCAGAAACCCTTCCAACTGTGTTTCTATTGCGCTAGAGAGCGGGATTACGAGAACTCATCTGCCGGCGTTATAGAGGTCATGTTTTCGCGCCGGCGGGGGTGGCGTGGGGGACAGGGGTCTCACAAATGCGTCCCGCTAGCAAGCGAGAGGCAGCGGAAACAAGATCCGAGATGCGGGATCCCGGCAGCTCCGGGAGAGATACGCGGGCGGGCGGGCGCGTCTCCACCCGTCCTGCGCCTCATTGGGCGTCGCTTCGGGGACGCGATCTCAGGTTGGAGGGTGGGAACCTGGAGGGAAGCCTCAAACTCTGCGCTCTGCTCGTGACCTCGGCACACGCTAGTCCCGCTCCGCTTTTGTTTTGTTCTCAAGAAGGAAAGAAAGCCCCACCCCGTGCCCTCCGGAGGCTTTACCTGGTGAAGAGGATGAGCAGCCACAGCAGCGCGGTGGAGAGGGTGTCCTGGCTGGCGCCGAAGATGTCGGTGACGGTGGCCGCCACGCTCTCCATGTCCAGCCGCGCGCCCGCCTCTCCGGAGCCGCCGGCCGCCGTCCCTTCGGCGGAGAGGATGAAGGCGTCCATCATGTCGCGGGGGTCGGCCCCGGGTCGCAGGCTTTCACGGTGCCTCCGGAACTTTTCGAAGACGAAGTTGCTGAAGTTGCGGTTGAGCTGCTGGAACTCGCGGAAGGTGGTGCGCACCGGGTTGGGGAAGAGCCGCAGCCAGGGCATCACGTCCACCAGGCTGCCCGCGCCCACCGTGCGCCCGAACTCCTCGTTGTGACTCAGCAGCTCCCGGAACTCGGCGTCGTCGTGGTCGTAGCGGCAGCCGAAGCACACCGCGCTCATGACGTTGGCCACCGCCACGATGATCGGCTGCGCCGGGTCGAGGCTACCGCCCGCGCTGTTGCGCACCAGGACGGCCACCAACTCGCGCGCCTCGCCCAGCACGTGGCCCTCGAGGATGCGGCGGCTGCGCGGCTGGCGCGTGGTGAAGGCGCGCGTGATGCTGAACGCGGCGCGCCGCTGCGCCTTCCAGGCCTCCGAGTAGGGGCTAAAAGCCATGCTGCGGCCACCGGACACCTCGCGGAAGGACGCGAAGGGCGGCCGGCCAGCAAAGGTGGCGCCCTGCTGCACCAGGGCCTGGTGGATGGCGCTCTCGCCGTTCAGCACCACCACGGGACAGCTGCCCAGGCGGATCTGAAAGACATCGCCATAGCGTCGCGCCAGCCGCGCGAAGGACAGGTGCAACGCAGGGCCCACCGCTGATGCGTTTCCGATCAGCGGCCACGGGAAGGGGCCCGGGGGCGAGGACCGAGGCTGCTGCCGCTGCCTCAGCAGCCACTGACCCACGTGCACGGCGGCCAGCACAGAGAGGAGCAGCAGGAGCGCGGTCTGCTGGATGGACAGCGGGCTCGGCTGCAGCGCATCATCTGGGCTGAGGGCCATGCTGAGGACAGAAAGGCAGAGACGGGACACTCAGGTGTGCTGAGAACGGAGTGAGCTCCCCGCGTCCAGACCCCGCCGCTTTGCCCTTAGGTGGACAGGAGGCTTGCGTGGGTCAGGTCGGGTCAGGGTGGCTCTCTGGAGAAGTGGCCGAAGACGTCCCTACCCCTACCTGACCCAAGCTCTGTGGGCAGAAGGGAAGAGGCGTGCTTCTGCCTCCGATTCAGCACAGCCTCTCCACCTCCAGCCCATAACGGTCCCCGTGATTCAGGGACGACGCCACAGGCATCTAGGCGGTGGCTCCTGGTTTCCTTTAAAGTGCCCGCCACCCCCACCTGACCTGCAAGAACCCAGATGAACGAGGCTGGCAGGCGGCCCTGAGGACAGACTGACCTGCTGGGAGGCACGGTCTCCAGCGGCGCGGGACAGCGAACTCCGAGAAGGTGTCGGGCCTGTGCTGAACCCGAGGGTCCTCAGGAACCTGGAGGCCCTCCCTGGACCCCTGCTGCCCACTCGGGGGGGGGGGCTCTGGCACCCACTCGAGTGTCTTGGCGTCGTCAGAACCAAGAGTGCTTGGGTTGGGAGGGAGACCGAGAAAGGTACCTCCTTTGCTGAGCCCCGTTGTACCTGGGGGTCTGGCAAAGCCAAGGTTTTCTCCTGGCGTTGGGATTGAGACCGCGAGGTCAATGAGTGCAGTCAATTCCCAGCCTTCAGGCCCTACAGGCGGCTCTCTCGACTGGGGTTTGCGCACACTCCGGAGACAACACGCATCACTCGCTTCTCCGGGTTTTAAGGACCGAGTAGGAGCGGGGGAAGCGGGACCTGGCGGGGCGGGACTTACAGGGGGCGGAGCCCGCCCCTGCGGTCTACACCGCGGGGCCACTGACGCGCGGAGCCCTGGAGCGGTAGCCGGTTGCTTTTGTGGGTGAAGCGGTGTAAACTCTGCGGGATAACGGCTCTTAATCAATCACAGTCAACCCAGCCAAGGGCCCTGCTCCTGCTCCGGGTCTCAGCGCGCCCCACGCCCCAGGAGCTCGGCCTCCTTTTCCCGTCCCTGTCTTGTGTTTCATTCCCCGAGAAAGACCCATTCCTGAGCCTTGGGCGCCGGAGCCGGGAAGCCTGTCCATTTGGGAACAGGGGACGCTCAGGTTATAGGAGCGGTTTGCCTTATTACTTAAAACTTCAGTTCTCACGAACAAGTTGGTCCCTCCCGTGTGGCCCTTTGACACACGAAGTTCTCTTTCCAGTTCTTGGCGCGAGATCGGGGAACCCTGAAAAAAGCCGCTCCCCGGGCCCGGACTACCCATGGGCACACCAAGGCCGGCACGCGCGGGCGCAGCTGGCCTAGAGATTTCCCGTGGAGAACCGACTCCAGGTGGCGCCGCCCGCTGCGGACGCCGGGCTTCCAGGCGGTTGGCGCCCGGCGGAGAGCCTAGCAGGGGCGGACGCCCGGGACGGGGAGGAGCCGGCGGGCGGGGCGCGCCGAAGGGTCCGTGGAGCCGGCCACTAGCTCGGGGGCGGGGAGTGGGAGGAGGCAGCTGCACGCGCCGGCGAGCTCTGCCGGGGTGAAAAGTTTCTTCAGGTCGCCTCCCCTTTGCGTGCGGAGCTGGGCCTTGCGTGCGCCGCTTCTGGGAAGTCTGCTCCAGTCATCTCCCTGGACGCCGCTCGAGGCTGCCCCTCCCGCGCTTCTCACGGCACCTGACACGCCAAGGCGGCCCAGGGCGGGGTGCCTGCTGCCGCCACCCTCGGCTGCGCACGCACGGCCGCGCCCGCCGGGCCGGGAGAGAAGCCTGCGCTGCCACCTTGGCGCCACCCTGGAGAGCTCTAGCTCAGTTTCCGTCCCGAGTGCTCGTGCGCCCGCCGCAGTGAGGGCACTTCCTTCCACAGGGTGCGGAGGCCCTGGGCCCAGGAAGTGACTGCACCTTTTCCTACCAGTGGAGACACCAAAGAGAATAGATCTCCGCGAAGCTGCGGAAAGGGCACGCCGGGGAAGAGGCGGGATTATCTAGCTACTCAAGTAGGAATTGCATCTCCTGACCTCAGGTCATCAGGTGTAAATATAAAAGTTGAACATTTACCGAGGGTCGAACTATTGCTTTGAGCTCTGCCTGCCCTGTAAATCCCGTTCTAATGCGGTTTTTACAGCTAAGGACACGGGTTCAGAGAGGCTATGTGACTTAGCCAAGTCACACAGCTGCCAAGAGGTGAAGGTAGGATTTGAACTTACAGAGTCCTACTGTAGGTTTACACAGAAGAAAATCTCAGCTAAGACCCAAATGCTTTTTTGTTGTTGTTCCTTTAAAAAAATCAGCTAGAAAAATTTAATTGTTTTTGTTTTCTTAACAGGATTCTGAGGATCCCAAAAAAAGAAACGGTATGCTTCCTCTGCAATAAAACTGGTTGAGGACAGTGCCTCCGCGAGGAGGACGTCAGTACTTTTACAGCGAAGGAGAGGTTCACTGGGAGAGATTTCACACATCGTGGTGATGAAGTAGCTTGGGGGCAGCTGCATTGGGCTAAAGATAAGCATGATTTTCTGAGAGCCCTGGCAGCCTACCTGTCTGTTTTCACCAGTTTTCTGTTGCTGTAACAAAATACTTGAGTCTGGGTAATTTAGACAGTTTTATTTTGGCTCACGGTTCTGGAGGTTAGTTAGCCCAAGAGCATGGTGCACCTTCTGCTCAGACCCCAAATCACAGAGGGAAATAGGAGGGAAGCCGGCACCTGAGGAAGAGGGAGAGCAGAGGGGCAGTAATCGCACTCCCACTAGAGCAGAACTCACTTCTTGGTGAAAGGCACCAGTCCATTCATGAGGGCTTTGCTGTCCCAAACACCTCCCAAGAGCCCCACCTCCCAACAGGGCATGGAGGAATCAAAGTTCCAAAGGATGAACTTTTGGAGGACATATTCAAGCCATAGAAATACCCTTTGGAATGAGTTTTGTGGCAATCTTACAGTGCTCCACTTTAGCAAGACTCTTACCTAATAATTCAGAACTGCTGCATGCATCAGTCTCTCACCGGACTTCAATAGATGGAAATTATCAGTGGACTGATGCCAATTCTGAACTGTCAGCATTCCTGAAAGCCTTTATCACAGTATCTCTGCACGAATGAGGGCAGATGGAAGTTTCCTATGTACCTAGTAAGTTTCTATTTTAAAAAATATAAAACATGGTTGTTCCTAAGACCTGTTTAACTCCTTAATGATGCTGTACAGTTTTCAGATCAACTGGATGCTTGCCTTCCTGCCACAGCAAATAGCTAAGGAATGTCCTTGGGCTCAGCTGTTGTTCTAAGACATGCCTCAAACCTGTCAGACAAATGCTGTCAGAATGATAGGCCCTCATCAAATATGGCAAACCAAAGCTGCTGACAATGGTGTGTCTTCAGAATCTCAGCCCTCGGGTTCTTCCAGGCTTTATAGTGCAAACCTCATTGGAGGGCTCACTTGGAACCTGATAAAGACTTTGGGTAAATCCAAAGCAGCCTGTTTGTGCCCCAGATCCAGCTCAAGATGGGGCTCTCCCAGAAGGGAGAATCCATATCAAGCTTATTAATAATCTTTACAACTTATCAACCAAAGCAAGGACCTAAGGCCCAAGGATTTCCTTTCAGTCAGCAGTACACAATATGGGGATTTCACTTCCCACATCTCAAACTTGAATTATGTGCCGCAAATAACTTTCAAAAAGAACAGTTAAGCTAGAGGATAGTTTAAAGTAGAGGTTTAAAATGCCTTGTGCTGTATTGATTCCAAGGAACAGCTTAAGCTCATTTAATCAGGACAGGAATGTGCTCGCTCATGTGGCAGAGAAGGATAACTGTGGCACCTCACCGCATGGAAGGATCCAGGCGAGGCTGCTCCACTTGGTCTCTGCTTCTGCTTGTCTCTGCTTGGGCTTTGTTCTGCCACCCCTCCATGTGCTGGGGAAGTCAGCCATGGGCAGTCTTTAATGAACACGCACTAGAAAAGGAGAACATCTGTCTTCCAAGGTCCTAGAAGCACTATGGCAGACCAGGCTGGCATTGGGTTCCACCCAGTAGTCAAGCACTGGTTCTGTCATCAGAAAAAAGGTGAGTGAAACATGCTAGGAATCCAGTCTACTCCACATATGTGTTTCTGCTCATTGTTCACTTTGGCTTACGGGAAAACCCAAACCTATTATTATTATTATTATTATTATTATTATTATTATTAAAATCAGACAGGTACATTTTCCCTGGAGCCAATAGCCAAGAAAGCTGTCAGGATTGAAGTCAGCTTTCTTTGGTCCTTTCTCTAGCATGACTCCTACATCGATGTTATGGGTAAGCACAGTGATCCTCCAGCCCTCTCCCCCAAAAACACACAAATGTGTACACCGAGAGAAGAATGAAGGAGAAACAGCCCTCGCCATTGGGCTGGGCAAGAGGCCAGAATCAGGCACATGCTGGTAGGCAGGAGGAAGAGGAAAAATGAGACACACCAAGTGCCAAAGGTGACTGAAGGAGTGGCAGAGGGAGGATATGGCACATCATACGTTGCAAATTGAGAGGTTCTTAGGAGTTGCTACCAAAACTCTATGTCACACAAATTGCTTGTGCTTCCTCCTGGAAGACACAGGCTTGATAAACACAGATGTGTTCTCAGAAGCTGTCATTTTAAAGATGCACCATTTTGTGCAAAACTAGAAAAGTGCTATTTCTATTGCCCAAAGGAAATCTAAGAAAACAGTTGCTTAGTAAAACAATGCAGCTTAAAATATGTTTCTTTACCCCTTCCCCTTCCAACTTGGCTTTGCTAAGGTCTTTCTATACAGTGTCTGATCATAGCAAAAGCCACAGAGCTGAGGCTCTATTATTCTAATTTCTATTCTATTCTATTCTTCTAATTTCCCACCAAAATGCTTCCCTAACTATTCAGAAGCAAAGGGTCATCAATGTCTGCGAGTTACTCTGAAATGACTTAAGGAAAAAGTAGAGAAGTGTGGAGACCAGGAGAAGGGGAGGGACATAGAATGATAACACAACCGTGATAAAATGCACTTTGCCATATCCTTGCAACTCCTCTTTAAGTTTCAAATGATATCAAAACTGTTCTTAGTCTTCTCAGTTTTTATGGAGAGTTTCTTATGTGAAAAGACAGTGAAAAAAACCTGGGACTGATGCACAGTTTAATTAATATCCTCCATCTGACACACTGTTTTCTCTTACAGTTCAAGGCTAAGAAAAAGCTTATGCTTGCTCAGCTGCAATGGTTTCCCCCAGCACCTCTGTTATGATACTTGCTGTCTTTGGTCTTTGGATGGTATTAATGTATCTGTGCCTTCTATTGTAAGCTTCCTTCAATTCCTTTTGAAATTAAAAGGAATATGATCTGTAAACACCATCATGTCCGTAGGGTCCTTCGGGTTACTCTGTCCCTGGTTGAAGGACCCATTCACTAGAGGTTTCACATTCTTCATAAACACAGAAAACGGGGCAATGCTGTAATCCCCCCCCCAAAAAAACACAACCCTCCTTTTTTGCTTCTTCCTTTTCCTTGATTTCCTTCCTCTTTTTTCTATCCCTTGTTCTTCCTTCACCCTTCTTTCTTCTCTCCCATTTTCCATTTCCATGGGTCCATGCTCATTTTCCTTGCCTGCTTTCCTGCTGAGACCATTCTTTTCTCAAGCTGCTACCCTTTCTATTCTTTCTCTCCTTTCCTTTCTACTTTCTCTGCTTTCCTTTTCTTTCTCACAGAAGAGGAAAGAGAAAAGGAGTGAAGGAAATAAGGAGAGAGTTCA